TCAGAAGTAAAATAGAATCTCGAAAAAAATCGTGTTCAGCACATGAAACCAAGTGTACGACGGTGTGGCGGGCTGACCAAATTATTTACCTCCCTTGAAGGAAAACCGAGAAGTTTTTTTTACAAATCCAAGAAAATTCCCTCAAGAAACTGGCTGTCTTTTCGAGTCGAGTCTGCTCTAGTGCCGAACAATTGTTAAAATGTTAAACTATCGTTGTAATCGTTATCTATTGATAGATCCGTAAATACGAATTGTTCAGCCATTGCCAAACAGGAAATCAATCAATCATGAATGAATCGCTGTTTGCTAGTGATGATTTCGGGTTCACGGTCAAATGATGTTTGCTTATGTCGGCGTGTCATAGTTAATCGTTGTCTCTAAATTACTCGACGATTTGCCGTTAGTCGTATCAAGCGTAAAAACCACCGAAAAACTGCGTAAGTGCACAACTAGAAACATCTACACATCCATCTACAACCTCGTCTGCTCAAATGTTCTACGTTACCGTTTTTACTTTCGTCGTCCTCTCCGACTTCATTACTGAGGCTCAGGTTTGATCCTTCTTTCCTTACTCCGTTTCTTCCAATACACAACTAGAACCCACTCTTCTTCAGTTCAATCAATGGGACCCCTTCAGCCCCAACTTCAATCCAATTCCTCCAGAGACCTTCCAGGTGAGTTGGGATTACCATTGACATCAATAAAACTCGTTCCTTCACCATTCAAAGCTAGCTCACAGTCACTATATTCAGGGAGGAGTGTTCAGCCCTGATTGGGAAGCCAATCTCGCCAGACAGATCCAGGAATCAAATGCTAGAACGCCAACGTCAGAAGGATCATCCAGTATAAACACAGTAAATGACGTTACGATGGTCACTGCAACCATTGGTGGCAAACTTCGCATGGCCACCTTACCGAAAGGCAGTTCAGTGGCTACATCTTCGAACAGCTATACTAACAGAGCCGGTCAACATGTTCAAGAGTTCACAATNAATCTCGCCAGACAGATCCAGGAATCAAATGCTAGAACGCCAACGTCAGAAGGATCATCCAGTATAAACACAGTGAATGACGTTACGATGGTAACTGCAACCATTGGTGGGAAACTTCGCATGGCCACATTACCGAAGGGCAGTTCAGTGGCTACATCTTCGAACAGCTATACTAACAGAGCCGGTCAACATGTTCAAGAGTTCACAATCACTGTCAATGGGGTCCCGTACCGTTATACGACTGTTGGCAATCGTACAACTGGCCCAGCCGGTGGTGGACCTTTTGACATACGTTCTCGTTGATCAGGGTCGTAGGAAAGCATGTAGACAATAGGCCAACAAGAGCGGTCATTTTCCAACTCTTAACAGTAACCCTACTGAAGTTTCCTGAGGAAGTCTTTGTTCGACTACCATTGTTTAACCAAAACTCCCTCCTTCAGTGGTGCTGGTAGATGTTGTATGATTACAGTGAACATTTCGTTGCTCATCATTAATCGTAAACAATTAAAGTAATCTTGTTATGTATAACTTGCTGCTGCTACTACATTTAGTTCAACTTATCTTACTATTTTTGTTCATTCACCATATTTTCAGACAGAATCGATAAAATAAAGAATTACTGCGGGAATGAAAGTAAAATTAAATGGAAATCGAAAATTCTATCGAAATGCTGCCAAAAAAGCTGAAAAGCTGAGTGGCTAGGAAGAGATTGAATTCTGACTCTTTCCGATGTAGGGCGGAGGAGTATGCCTTGGTGCATAGCCTTCCAATCATCCTTAACTACCATTATCTCTTGATTTGAAGGCTATCGCCCCGCCCGGTGTCCGGCATCCCCCTTGAAAGAAACGATATCTGGGTCGTTCTATTGAAAGCCAAATTGGTCCCTGATGTACTTGCCTTACTGTTTACAGCATCAAAGTCAAAATTACAGTACTAAAAGGAAACTTATTGATTTTTTGAGCTTAGCGACTGACAGGGTGGAGAATCTAGTCAAAGCAATTAGAGGAAATACACACCCTCGATTCCTCCTATCCCCAAAAAAATCTAACATTAACACACCTCGAGTGAGATCTCGGCTGGATTCTCGTAAAGGGGTGGGCTGATAGACGAGGACGAGATGGTGGAATCATCGAATTTCGATTTGAAATCGCCGAACATCTCAGACAACAACGGATCACCGCTTTGTCGTCCTCCGAATGCCTGACAGAACTGCATGTTCTCGCTCATTAGACCCGACAAAGTCTGAAACCATATGAAATAAATTTTCACATGGAATTTTTTCGTTTCCGCAATTAGTATAGTATACCTACCGTAATGGTTGGCAATAGCAACAGTAAGTTTCCAAATCGGCTACTGGCCGTGTAGATTGGATGTAATTCTTTGACAATTTGGAACAGCATATCTTGGACTTTATCACGAAGGTCACCGATGGCCACCTTAGCCCGATCCGACAAGCCTTTCGCGTCTACAATCAATCACAATTGACATTAGATAATCGAAAAACCTAGGAAAATTCCAATGAAAATCTTATTGTTAGTTTATTCAATTCGGAAATAAAGAAGTTCGACTGTGTGGATACTTCGGGGTAGCTCTATTTGGAAAACCAGTACAAACCATATCAAGAAAAAAAATAGGGTCCTTTTACTGTATATAGTAGGAAAATGACGAGACTCTTCTTTAGCTTTGCGGATTGTACTGGTTTTCGTTTATCTCATTCTTTTGTAGAGTCATGAGCGCTACTAATACATATTCTCAGTTCTTCACTCAGGGAGCATGACTTTAGCTTAAGTCTGACCACAAAATGGAGTAAGGGTAGGTAGGTTTAGGCAGGTAGGTAAATATTTATACAAGTGCGAAGCCTTTTCCTCCTCATAGAGTCTGACTTTAGAGCTCGTAGAGCTTCAGTCCCCTTCACTATTGTGAATTTTCAAAGAGGCTTCAAAAATGCAGTGATTAAAAATGGTAGCTGGAATTGAACCAAGTTTTTGCAACTATTCCTTTTCGGTATTACTAAAATCTTACTTTTTACCTTCTCTGTATTTTTGTATTTTTCCATAATTTTTTGTATTATTTTCCACTTACTGGGATTCAGGATGATGATCGCCTTTAACGGTACAATCTCTTCCTCTTTAAGATTCAACTTCCGTAACGGTGCTACGAGTTCATTCAGGGTTCGATCGATGAGCACATTTGACAGGTGGCTGTAAACATATGATATGTGGTAAACACGAGTTAAATTTGATTTGCAATCCCCTTCTCCTAGGTAGGCCTGCATAGTTGTACACAATAGTCTGGGAACCATCAGAAGAGTAGTCTCTAGGAAGGTAAGGTGACAGTGTTCGGGAAGAAACACGATTTTCCGCAATTTTGGTGTCTGTTTCAAAAAAACACAGAAAGGGATCATCTGCACTGTGGACAAGAAGGGATTATTTCCACCAAGGTGTGAAAAGCATTGATACTGGCACGATCGCTAAAAAAACACGTTGAAGTCTGCGAACAGATGAGAAAGCAGTGAGTCACGGTGTTCACGATGACCAGTTTCTCCTGCACTGTTTTCTGATACCCTCTGAATAAATAGTACTGAACATTTGCTTCTACCATAGAAACTTGTCTGCTGAACTATGCAATGGGAGCCTTTATTATATGTGCCTACATTGGATATTTCACGGGCCAAATGATGTCACACTGAGTGTTTCCCTCCCATCCCCATTTCCAAAATGTTCACTTCAATGACCGGCTTCTATCCCATTCAAAATATCAGCTACCTGAGCAGCATCAACTTCATGAGTACTTGGAAAGAGAGTAAAAGATCGATCTGCGTAGAGATTCATCCCTAGACTCTGTGTAGAGGGTTCAGGGAGAAAGAAGTTTCCGACAGGCTATCGGACCTCATTCCCCCGGTGGTTCTAGTTTATGGTTGGAACGCTCGATCTTTGGCAAGGCTCATAATTGTGCCCCAGTTTTTGGGGCCTCTTTATCGTGCAAAGCGCCTTCTTTCTCTTTCTTTATGGTATACCTTTCTCTTGTTTTATGGTATCCTTTATTTTCGAGTTTTTCCCCGAAAATAAAAACAGTAGTACTTGCTGTACTGGCGATGTTAGCACACAGTGACTCAACGATGACAATTCGGATCTTTTCTATTTTGCTTTAGCGCAAGCCTCTTTGACACCGACCGACAATTTCTTTGACTCAGGTTACCGTGACTCACCCGCCGCTCATTTTTATTGCGCTTCGAACAGTTCTCGAGAAAACAAAGAACTTCTGTTGGTTACTGTTGATTGACAATTACCTTCAGATTATCCAACTCCCTCTCGAGGTACCAGATTACTGATAGCGTACTAGGTGAAGATCAGTCGAAAAGTATCGCTCCTCCCAGGTGAAAGCCAATTCTCCGAGTGGAGGTATGGTTCTCTGCTAACAGACACATGAGCTGAGTAGTGGACGAGTTGGTTCAAACTCTGCTTCTTACGAGACCATCGAATCTCGAGTATAGCATCGGGTCCAGTTTAAAGTTGTGAACGCAAAGGCTCCTTCCGCTTGCCTTTTGATAAGAGGCCAGGAGGTATAATCACTGAGAGTAGGCAAACTAGGGCTCAGCAAAAGGAAAACCAGATTCAACGAAGGCCCTCAAGCTCTAACCAGAAGCTTTGATCCATGTGAATGATATTTAGCTTTCCGCTAGCAATCTGAATCTGTGATCGTTAGAAACGAATGGAGAAGGATAGAGATTGGTCCCAATGGCACAGTTACCCAAACCCATCTGGCCTTGGACAAGACTGGATTCAGACCAAACAGATTCCAATAGAAATCAAAGGTAAATAGAAAGATCAATTTAATTCTATACTCACTTCGTTTCATTGAACTCAGGCGGTAAACGCCTTGGCACATAGGAATGACTGCACAGGCAAAGTATATCCGGATTGGGGGTATTCTGAGCGGTACGAGCAGAGAAGTTGAATATCGTCAAAGGTGAGTAGCACGACTTCACTAGAGCCACCTAGAAAACATTTAAATAATAATAGTGAGGAAAAAATTGGAAGGAAACAATAAAAAGCTAGAGAAATTAATGCAAAAAGCAAAAGGAATTAATGCTACTAAGGGAATGGTAGTAACATCCTTAGCTTGGCTACAACTAACAAGTTACTGCAGAAGTTTTCTAGTAATCATAGGAGCTCCCACTGCCCTGCAGTGAATAAGTAGAAAGAAATGAAGGCCGGTAAATCGATGGATTTTCCAGTATAAGCCGAGCATTCTTCTTTTTCAAAGAGTCTACATGGGCCTAGAAATTGAATTTTTCGGTACATGGGTAGCCACGAGTAGTTTGAAGGGCACTGACATGCAGGCTGTTAAGTGCATGACAGCTACGCAGGCTATCCCGGAGCAAATACATGATTTTAGCCTCCCGCAACCTCTCAGAGATGAGTCAAGCAATGGTGGATGGGAAGCTTCACCTTGTCTTCCGTATCCTGCAGTTCGGCGATTTCCGTCAAACTGTCCACCCAGTCTACAGCTGCAATCGCTCGTCGATGAGCAATCTCGGACAATTCCTCCGTCCGTGCCATCCGAAAGGGTTCGTATCGCATCTGAAGCAGTGAATTTGATTCACATAATCGGAATATTCCAACAGCGCCATGCTAACTTACACTTAAATGGATTTATAATCATCTTAAACATATTTCAAAGGCACTACCTTGTTGTTTACACTGGGTAAACAAGTCAATAAGTAGGCAAGTAAATGAACAGGAAGTAAATCGAAAAGTAATAGAAAAGTAATGGTCAGGTGCAGCAGTAATGGTGGTGAACGCAAAAAAAAGGCATGAGAGAGTCCCGAATCTTTTTTCAGAAGCCCTGCAGCCTCCATCAGGAAACCTGGTAATGACTGATTGGTCAAATCAATAAATATGTTCTCTATTAAACCCTTATGAATAATAGCGAGACAGAAATCTGCCAGGATTTGAGATTCTCCATTTGTTTCTTGAATTATGGGGTAACCTGATAGTTTTGGGGTAGCTCTACCCATAACTGCCCTTACAACCTGTGTCCAGTTGATAGCATATGACAATTTAGATGGTCTAGATTGCACTACAATACTATACTTTTTACAACTTTTAATGAATATAGCATTCCCTTTCACTACTGCAGGTAATGTCCTTACAACTGGGTGTGTATGGGCAATTTGTCATGGTATTAGTGTAACAGCGTTCATTGTGAAGTAAACAAATGGATATTCCCCATGCAGAACGGGTTCCCACGAATCATAAAAACTAGACTGTCCACTTAGCAGAGTTAGCAGACAAGTCGCAATGAAATCGAAATTTCTTCCATGAGTAAAAATTGCGGTGTGGTACTATAAATGCTCAACTATGCGCGAAAATTGCCTCTTTGGATGCACCAGACAGCAGTCGAAACAATAGAAAGGCTCGCTTAGCGTGGTACCCGCAAATAACAGCCAATGTGCCTACCAAGACCAGCCGCGAGCGGTCGCGTCGCGCTCGATGATGTGGGGGCGCTGCGGAAAGGACACAATTATCAAGGTCAAGAGATACTGAAAATCGAAAAACGAGTTAAAAGGTGCAGTTAGTATACCTCAGTACGTCTCCCGTCCATGGAGGGCTTTTGCTCGAACATTTCCTTCAGAGAAATCGCTCGCGGATCTTTAGTTTGTTGTGTAGAGGCGTTACTCATATTATTATCACCTTTGACGACCTTAATAAAGGTGTGATTGATTTTATCGGTTTTTTGCCCGCTCTAATCGATTGTTATTTGAAATAAACTGACTTTTGCCTCGATGTTCATCAGTTGTAGAAGTAATATCCGCGTGTCGTTATTCAACTTCCTTGACCAATCATCACCGTGAAGCCGGAGCTAATCAAAAGGCGAGTTATCATGTAGAAATTATGGACGAGTTTTCAAAAGCGAAACATACCACATGGCTTAATAATTCTTCATCAATCGGCTTTTTTCTTATTCGAGGCACTTTTTGCTTTCCCGTCAGATCTCGATCAGGCCGTACAGCTTAAAGATCATGTTTCCTTGAATTTTGCCGTACCGTTTTTACCCATCAAAGAATCATAAGCTACTATAAAGCTAATACACAAAGGAAGAGCAATCGATTATCGATTTTTGGGAACTGTCTTTCATTGCTTCCATTCAACGATCTACAAACCTTTTGGATCCATTCCAACTTCGATACAGCGATTAAAACGGCAATAACGACAGCTGTTCCGTTGAACTGAAACACAGACTCGTTAGGATATTGAGTGACCGTAATCTAAGCCGTTGGTAGATCAGAGCAGAACTTTATTTTGAATTTTTTTTCGAAACATGCATTTATTTCATTTTTCGTGTGTGAGGCTCGAAAATCTTCGGCGGTGAAAAGTGAATTACTAAAAAAGTAAGACATTTGGAAAAAAATTTGCGAAAAAAATCCAAATTTTAAAAATCGGGGTCTGAAAGGTTGAATAGAAGTTCAAATACTCTATATGGATCCTTTTCCTATTTTTATTACATAGGTCGAGAGTAATGAAAGCAGCAAGCTGGGTCTCGATAGTGTAAGGGAGAACGAGACCTACGTAGAGAGCACAAGGACGGGATCCAATACCGTCCATAGTCTAAGTTTTGCTCATAATTCGCCAATCTTGTGAGGTGCGTATTTCAAAAGCATTTATGTGATTCATCCGTGAAGTGGACAATTTTGGGTCAAATTCAAAAAATAACACCACCTCAGCATATCCAATTCCAATATTTTTCTTAAATTATCAATTATCAATTTGATGGAGAGACCACGTTCTCCCGATTAAATTTTGCCTTACTGACCACACCCAGGGAATCAAAGAGGATTTTTTTCTCGTTTCAACGACCGGCAAGACACATTTCGACTATGAATAAACACATCCTAATTGTTCGATGCGAAAAAGCGATCTGGTGATAAACGCCGAAAAAAAATCAAAGAAGATTGACAAGTATCATAAATTATATTCATTCTTGAAAGACATACATTTGTCGACGACACAGTTGTTGCCAAAACGACATGCATAGCGGTACTTGCCCGTCAACGTCCGTCGGAAGAATCCTTTGCATCCGTAGCATGCCAACACCTTCAAAACCTTTAATTGTTCAGCAGCCATCTTGTTTATTTATTCATTTGTTTTTTGTTTACTTCACTGCATTTGTCACTGCACTTGGGGGGAGGTCAAGAAAAGTGCTTCAATCGGGCTTCAATCGAAGCGAAAGGAACCCAAGGATGATACGGGATGGTAAGCGCCAATGAATAGCCTTAGGAAACGCCATGCGTCCTACTTCACCTCTAAAATAGAAAGGACATTTCGAAGGTTCAGCTTTGTTTGAACCTAACATGTACGTGGCACTTATGCCAATCCTCAACTTTTTGGCGCAGAATCGAACCAGGGACATATTGAGATGTAAAAAATACCTCGTGAAACCATAATTTGTAAGGCTGTGGCATAAGTACATAGTGAGCCCAAAGGAACGTAGCCCAAGAAGCTCTGCATTTAAAGTTTTCAAACATCGACTGGGTGTCCTATGATTAAGTGAACACAATTTCACCACCCGAACGGCTAATGATCAGGTCCTAGAGGCTCTATGATTGTTGCCTTATAGGATTTCCCAAATTCGTTCCCCTAGAGTTCCACACTCTGAAAGGACATTCTCTTAGCGTCGACAACTGTCCGAGTTGTTGACTAATTCCGAGATTCGAGTGCAATTTTCTCTCTACCATCTTCACGTGACAGTCCTCCCATTTGAGTAGGGGAGATCTCCCAGTGACTTGATCCCACTAGGCTTTCTATGTGAGAGTGAACTTATTGTTAGCAGATTTCGATGAGGTGCTCCTTAGGGCATATCCCACTTAAGAGTAGGAGGTAGTGGTAATCAAAAGGGCATGCGGCTCCATACGAAAAAGTGCCGTTCTCTGATGCCCAGCCCAAATTTGAATGTAACCGAAAAAAGTAGTATTACTCAAATGTACTCACACCATAGTGAAGTTTTGCATGTCCATCACCGCATACAGCACAGATCGCTTCACCGGCAGAAGAATTTTTGTCTTTGATCTGATAGGAGATGGTCGTCGGTGATGCTGACGATGGCACAGATGCTAACATCATCGGCATCCTGCAAAGACGACATACGTATGGGAAGATACGGGAACTTGTCGGAGACATTAAATTTAATGGATAGAAGATGTATGATAGGCGTACATACCGGGAAAAACCTATGCATTACGTGCTGCTCAAATGATTTGGATCATTTTCTGTCATATTTAATTAGGTTCAATTTTTTTCTGTCATTTACACTGATTGAACACACTCAATTCGACGTAAGAAGTTTGATTTTCAACGGAACGATCGATAGGCTGTCTTCTACAGCTGTTGTTCGATCAGCCTGGGGATTCGAATTTGAATTCATTCTTTTTTTTGCAAATGACAAAAACCTCTGCTGAGCATCACCTCCCTTTTAAAAACGCTCTGGCTCGGGCGTCTACTCAGGCTTTGAAACTGACATTCAGGATTAATTTGTTGGAAATAAAAGAATGAGATTCAGTGACAAAGGAAGCAGTAACTGCTGACCCAAGTGAATCTTATTCTGGACGAATCCTCTCTGAGCCAGCCATTTTTACTACCTTCGAAAAGTACATAGGCACCATCAGTCATCATCAAACCCTCAGTGGAGGGAACAGTATTGTGTATGGGTTTGTATGAATCAATTATGAAGTCAATAGCTACTTTGGCTTTGGAAAGAAGTCGTATGCATGGCGTACCGGAAAACTGGACAAAACAGAACTGAATCCTATATCAATTACTATCTATTGTATGTTAGGAAATGTTTTTTGCTTTTCAACGACGTTAAGGGACGTGATCACTTCTAACAGAACGAATATTACGCACAGCACTTTTGGGAACATGGCACTCGTACTGAGGAAACACTGTAGCTCCTACAATCCATTCGTATCAAGGAGTATCGGATTCCGAGATGAGATCTCGCATTGGAAGGCGAACAAGAAGATGGGGACACGTATCCCCTAGAGGCTGAGATTTTGAGAAAAATGGTTCTGTAGTGGTTTGCTACTGAGACCAATCTGTGGCTTCTTGAAAGGACCCATAATGCCCATCACAAACAGTTCGATCATAGCCTGATATTTCATTGAAATATCTCTGATTCAGAAGAGAATGAAGTCTTTTTCTTTTGTGAACAAAAGCCACTTAAATCAGCTAGTCTCATTTAATTGCTTTCCTATTGAGAAACCTCCCAAAAATTCTGCTCATTCATCTTCTGATTCACCTAGGTTCATAGAAATGACGTAGCAATGTTCAGGAGTTACTGAAGGATGACGAGTCAAACAGAAAAACCAAATAAATGTCCATTGACTGACTGAGTAAGCGATTATAATTATGATATTTTGTTCACACATGTTGCATTATATTATTACTATCGTCATAATTATTGTAACCAATTTTTATTTTTCAAATCGACCAGTTTCTCGGGAAGAAAGTACAGTTTTATATCCTTCAACTAAGCGCTTGTTGTGTACTGAGAAGAAGGGCATAATCACACGCATGATAGGGATCGGTTCCCTAAAGCCAACCAAATTTCCAATCCTCCAGAATCGGGTAATTGGGTACCAGACTTGTCTGGAAAGATGAAAGCACTGACTTGTACACCGCTTGGTCATCGCAAGCCATTATATTGGGCGAATAGCATTCAAAACGTCACTACGATCCTGTGTGGGAGTCAGATGTAGGGCGCATCCCTCAGACGGAACTGATAAACGCTGAAAACTCTATGCTTTGTCCTTTTATCCTTCAATCGCCTGCACTTTACCTTTCAAAACTTAAATACGTAATCTCAAAAAAGTCTGATTTCATTCCCTGCATTATTCTATGCACACCTGCACTTCATAGTAAATAAATAACAACAAAATCATGCAGCATAATGTTTACCACTTTTGTTACGCGGAGCAATAGAGATAGGTGGATTAGGAAAGAATGGAGCAAGAGTGGGGGAGAGGTAGGGCAGTAACTGATGGTAGAAAGAAATTCTTTCTACTTTCTATAGACTCTATCAACCTTGATAGCTCCCGGCACTTTTAGAAGTTGCATGAAAACTTCGAGCATACATCTCTAATGTTCGCCATGTGCAAATACAATTACCGGTAACGGTACACAACGTAAGATTTACGCCACAGATGTTCTGTAATCCTTTGCCGGCGCGTTTACCAAGCAAACTTTGCCATTATACCCAGCTCACTTGCAGCAGGAATGAACCGTTGACAGAGTTAATCTCTTGAAACGAGTCATTTCGTAGCGATGCAGCTAGTTGTTCCAGGGAAATTCGTAGATAAGAAAGCCATATGACGATACCGTACCCTGAGAAATTATCTTGACTACTTCAATTTTGAGCTGATTCATTTCTATGAAATCTTTAGAGACAAAGGATCACTACTGGCAAGTTATTCTAGGATACGCCACGAATCTGGAATGACCATGGAAAGGCGGAGAAGAATGCATTCCTACGAGACCTATACGTACATATGTAGCTCTATTTCCTGCTCTCCCAAGCGAACTTAGTTTCAACAAGTGAAATCTTGAAGTATTAGTTGATCAGATGCCTACGGGGGACTCCAGTTCTGGACATTGTGAGTGTATGCGGAGCAGAGTGGCTACCAGCTGGACTGCCAAGGCTTAGTAAACAGTACAAGCAGCGCTTTTGAAAGCATCCGATGATTATGCAGGAATTTCACTCTCAGAATTTCACTTTTCTGCAGACAATTGCCTGTTTACTTGATTGTTTACCATCTTACTACAGCATATAATCATCAAACCGTTACCAAAATTTCAGTGCCCCTTTTGATATCAATCATAAGGTATCCATAACGGTTTTTTGAAAGCATTTTATACATCTTGTTCTAATATCTACAGATTATACACTGCAATAATGGATTCCACCTATCACAAAAATAAAAATAGGTGCATGCTGTATTTATGGCAATAAATAGTGAAATATTCCGGTACCCTGATGGTTTTCCTGATAAGTGACCTTGGTCATGCACAGGAAACGGCTTCATCAAAGTTTAACTGCACCGCAAGCCTATAAAAAGGTCTTAAAACCGGATCGTAGATGCCTAATTCGAATTTGCTCCCATATGTTTCCCGCATGGGCAACGTTCTCCGTTCTTCTTGCAGTGATACTATTTAGAATAGAAGAATGAATAAACAGAACAGGTTTTTCATCATTCACTCTACTCTACTCTTCAATTTGAATCAGGCTATGGGTTCCCTATACTACGTGATTTGACTGAATTCTGTCAGGAATGACGAATATTCTTCGTAAGGAACCCCATAAACGAAGTACGCGCTCGAATCTTGAACGAGCCCGAATGGTTGCCTATAAATCACCTAAGTTTTGATAAGTTTCAGTGCATTTTCGCTAGATTCAACCCCGAAAATCTGGTAATTTTGTTGACGATTGAGCGTTCGTGGTGAATCCTAAGAAAAACGAGTTTCTCCCCTTTTGCCAATATTTCTGATTACTCAACTGATTCTGGATATTTTCCAGAACGACTTTTTTCACAATTCTCCATGAAATAAGTCATTAGGAGCAAGCATACCTCAAAAAATGCTAGGTGCTATTTAAAAAATAGTTCAAAATACTGTCCATATAAGGAGATTATGGGCTGCGAAGTCCCAAAAGGGAAGCCTCCATGTACATACTAGGTGATTTCGGCTTTGCCAAACCTTAATCGGAAAGGGAGGAACCACAAAACCCATCACCTTTCTCCTGAACTAGTAACGTTGGAAAGGTTTTGTAAGAAAAGAAGGGGATCATCCAACAAGCAAGAGAATGTATGAGGACGCTTTTGTTCAGCAATGATGGAAATGGATCTAGTCTCCCTAGATTTCAAGCCAGGTGGAAGGGTTGGACTCAGGCAGTTCGCGATATTGTTCTGACAACTTTTTTATTCCCTGGTAGACGACTATTTGTTTACTTGTTTACTTGACACAAAACATCAAGACACATTCATCAACTATAAAAATATCCCAAGTACAATACTTTGAGAATCAACTCTAATTCAACCTTCCTATTAGAGCGATCACAAGGGGTGCGTGACATTCCTACAGAACTTATTCGGAATGAAGAAGCATATAATAGAAAGCAATATAAAAAGCAATCGGTATTTGTTATCTGGCTTTTTCCCCCAGGTGTGACCACCCACAAAAAAAAACGCGTCAGGAAAAGCCAGATTTCTCACGACCAGTTTTTTCTGACGTTGTGGTCAGTGCATATGACAGGTTTTTTTCCTTACAAACTTTTTTCTCTTAAAAGTCTCATAAAACAAGGTCATACAACAAAAAACAAAGCTCAACTGTGATAAATCTCCCAGAACTGAGCCATGCCTTTGATTACTGATCGAATTTTTGAACACATTTGAGTGAGTATGATTTATACACAACAATGATGAAGCCCAATTCTGCTTAGGGTGGTTGAAATCAGTCGTCTTATCCTCCCTAACAAATCCAGTTTACCTCACCCACACCCGGCAAGATTAACAGCAATCAAGGTGTCCCTGTCCTTACTCATACAGTTGGGAAACCCTGCCTGTTAGCCCTTGATAAATGTGTCATCATTTTCACTCTGATGATACTATGTTCAGTGCACCTGAAACTAATCGATTTGTGTGGCTGAGTAATGTTCAGACCTTTTTTTCATTTCCCAGTTTTCAGGTTTCATAATCGCATAACGAAAATGCTTTTTGTTTTGGAAGAACAGAAACAAGTAGCAAGAGGCACCAAACAAAAAGAATTACAATAACCTAGTAATTGTTCGGGAGGGATAGGGAAGGCACCATAAGGGGGAAAATTTCATATGCTTATAGAACGAAAAAAATGTATTAGTTCGAGTCATAGATGGGACTCATCATAAACTAGTCCTTTTTCTTCCTCTACTGACAAATTACTTTATTAAGGTGTTCTGGGAGCTGAATTTCGTCCAGAAAACTGATTTTCGAAAGCGGATTAAGGATCTAAAAATGGAGCCTGCCGTTCAGATATGTTTACTTTCACTTTAGAAGTAAAGTGAGATCGAAAAAAAGAACATCTACCAACAGAAGGGTTCATTGAGCCAGTTTTTGTGGGTGCCAGCATTTTTTGTCCTTGAACTGACGAAC